CACACACACAGACAGCCTCTTCCCAACATGCGTTTTTGCAATTTGCATATATGCAAAAACGCATAATAAACGAACGTATGAAACTAGAATGAACGAACAGATCGAGCACAAAACATTCGACGTAATTTGATCAGAATAGCGGCAAAATCAATTACAAAATATTAAACTATGGTGAAACAGAAGAACAAAATCCAAACTGCTCTTACCACTGACTAGTATTTTAGCAGTGCATTAAGTTGGCAGTGTGCTAAATACAAATTTCAAAAATGTTCTGGTAATGCTTCTTGAGGGGAGGAATGAGAGCTTGCTCCCGCTCTTTCATGGGAACCAATAAAGTACAACTATAGAAATACATATAAAAACATAAAACTGCATTATTTTTCCGACAAAAAAACGCGAATTATGATACTGATGAACCAGTCTGGCAAACAGCCAGAGTTTCTACCTGAGAAAGAAAATAACAAAAGTACAAAAATAAGAAAAAGAGAGGCCAACACCAACAGCGACACCAACACGACACTTCATCGACATGCTGTTTTTTTTTCTTGGTTTCCGTTGTAATCAACGATTTCTTAAAGGGCGAAGGAAGTGTTTTTAAGTGTTTCGTGCCACTGTTCGAACACTTTGTTTAGTAGAAGTAAATGATTTCTCAACATTTTTGAACAACACAAAATTCAGACACTGAGTTAGTATTTTCATATGAACATAGCAGTTCGGTCTGGATACATGGTACTCGATTTTTTCCGAATTAAATCGGCTCGCTTTTTCTCCTCCAAAAACTGTTTCTTTTTGGGCAATATGCCTCGATTGATCATGTCATACACCATTTCGGGCAACGATTTTTTCACGTCACGATAAGAAATATTGAGAATTCGGCATCCCTACAACACTTGATAATCAGCCAGAAAACAAAGCGAGAAGGGACTTGCGACGACTTTATTTATACACACTTGTGAAGTGCTTACGAAAGTATTTCAACTGTAAGTCGACTGAAGCGTTAGCTCTTATCATTTTCTCATGATATATTTAAAATCAGTTTGCCCATCACGATCATCGTTCGCAATCAGTATTTATTTGTCTGTTTTCTTTGTCGGTCTCTCTTTGTTTCACACTGCAATGGGACTGCTTTTGTTCCTTACCCTTCCAGAATACAATTTACGGATATTTGATTCTTTTTTGTAAAGGACACCCTGGTAAAACGAGAAACATGCCCGACTCATCGAATTTAACATTCTTGTATGATCGCGACAATATTCTGCACGCCTTCTACCTGTTAAGTTAGTCAGGAGGAGATACATCAAGCAACTTTTACTTCATCGCTTTCTTCTTCACAGCCAGCGCTCGCTGCATAGCTTTCGTCAAAATTTGTGATAATAATTTTTTGGCTATTTGAACAAAATATGGTTTTTGGAAAAAAAAAACCTTGTAATGAACGCTCCTCGTTTTGACGAGCTTACCTTTGAGTTGTCGAATTTTTCCTCGTGACCATACAATCGTAATGCCTGTCGAGCTTCTGGATCGAATCGAGCGTATAGCCATAAAGCCGCATAAGGCGCTTTAAACCGCGGTACACTGTAGCCTTAAAGATAGCTTATTTGGTACCGTATCCAAACAAATCAAACCCAAGCAATCCGTTTAATTTGTTAAAGCTGACCTTGTTCGCTAAATTCCTGCCGTAAAATTTTTGCAATTTTTCGAAACGATAGTGTTTGAGCGGTGACGATGATTCGTTGGCCATCACTTCTCGGCTCCTTCATCGCTAGTAAATGCGCCCGTGCCGCATCCCGCACATCAACTACTGACACTTTCAGCGCCGGGTATGCGGGCATAGAGCCGTCCACAAATCGACTGATTATCTGTAAGCTGTATACGTTTCATAGCACTTTCAAATCGGTCCGCAAATCGATGAACCAGGAGGGGAGCCAGTTCAATTTCTTTTTTTTTTAATTCAAAGGTTAGGAAATCCTCAGCTGTCTTCTACGATAGCCAGTATGGTCTCGGAATGATAGTGTACATAGAATGATGTTAAAGAACTCACCGCGGCGCTCGCTCCTTTGGAGTTTTGTAGCAGCGGACCAACAAGCAGCCCGGGGTTTAATACTGTTAAGGAAAATTGCACATCTAAAATCGGGGCTTTGACAAAAACAGGCTTCAGGCTTTATAAATCAAGAAAAAGTGATTAGAAAAACTGCTTCAGGAAACTCTGACTGAAAGAAGTACGTACTGAAATTTCTGCAACGCGCACAACTTTCTTCCGGACATAAATTTGTCTTATTACTCATAAGTACAAGCTTAAGTCAGTAACCTGGATTCCTGTCCATGAAACTCCACGCGGCTTGCTCGGCTAAAGTTTTGCTTTTGTGATAAGGATGCAGATGCCTCCAATTCAAGTTTGTCCAATCTTCTTCTGTGAAAACTTTTTTAGGATCACC